AAACTATATATAAAAATTTATAAATTTTTTTGAAATTTATGAAAGCTAAATGCATTTAAAAAATAAAATACTTTATAATTAAGTGGCCTTAAGTTCATTTATACATGAAAACTACAAAATTGTTGGAAGAAATTGAAGGTGATTTAAATGAAATAGAAATATATACATTCATGGAGCATAAAATTTAAAATTGTTAAGGTGGCTGTATTAGTTATTTTTCTCATTATCATGATCATATATCTGACAAAATAACTTAGAGGAAGGGTTTATTTCAGTTCATAGTCCATGGCAAGATAGGCATTGTGGCTATCATGTCATCTATCACTGTGGGCGCTTGCCAGCCAGTAACATTACAGAAGTGAAGGGAAAAATGACTAGAACTTCGAGGTAGGCTCTAAGTCATATACCCACCATTGAGTAACCTCCTTCTACCAACCAGAACCCTTCCCCTCAAGATTCTACAACCTCTACAGACAACACCATCAGCTGGGGACCAAGTATTCAAACATGTGCCTGTGGAGGACGTTTCATATTTTAGCTATAATACTCTGTCCCTGGCTCCCATAGGGCAAAGTGCATGCAAGTCATACCTTAAACCATAGTCTTATAGTCCCAACACTTTTCAAAAGTCAAAAGTCTCTTCCAAAACTCAGAGCAGTCTTCATAACTATCTGCTCCCATTAAAAAAATGTTAACATACTTTAAACATTCAGCAGCACAGAGTAAATACCCTCATTCCATATAAGAAGGTATGGGAGCACAACAAGGAAAGATTGGACCAAAGTGAGACAAACTGAGCAGAGAAAACACCGAATCTTGCATTTCCTACATCTCGGGCTCCTGATGATTTCATCTAGGCTCTAAGCAGCTTGGGGACCCCATCTCCACTCTTGTGACCTTACAGCATACATAGTCTCTCTCTTGGGTTCCACTCAGTATCCACAGCCTTCTTTGGCAAATGCCTCACATTTCTAACATCTTCTATATCTCAGCATCTTCCCTACACCTAAGGTTTCACTTTTACACAATAGCTTATCAGGACCTTTGGGTAGAAAATCTGACTCTGCCACATGTTATCCAGCCTCAGCAGCTTTCTGAAATTCTGGTCTCCATGACCCCTTCACTCTTGTATAGTGCATGCCTATAAAACCAGTACCACATGGACACACTGCTAGGTTATGCTAGCTCAAGGTGTAGCCTTTGCCCCTCTACCACAACTATAGTGACTTCAGGGTGCTTGCCTGGCTGTACCTGGTACCTAGGTAAACCCTTGCCTAGGCAGCCCTGTTCTGGCAGGGTACCTTGAAGGCTCTTTGTTCAGGTACTCTCTTTTAAAATGGATTTGCGTTTTTATAAGCTTGAGTCTTTAGTAGCAGTGTCTTGCTCTCAGCACATTTCCTAATGGCCCAGTGTAGATGGGTGATTTCCCCTGAATGGTTTCTGTATTATCAGCAACTTCTCAGTGACTGCCACTCCTTTCACATTCCTTTCTTCTTCATCTTTCTGCTTTGAAATCTTACATAAATCTCACCAAAATGCAGTGAGCAGTAAAGATACTACAGCTTGAATGTTGTGCTCTATTTGAATTTTCTTTACTTTGAATTTGGCCTCACTTATATTATCAGGACATAGGTGACACAGCCAGATGCTTTATTGGAATGTAACATAAATAGCCTCTGCCCCAGTTTCTGATAGTTCCTATTCTCCTCTGAAATCTCAGAAACTGGCCTTCACTGCCTGCATTTCTTTCAGCATTCTGTTGGCATTCTGTCTTTGGGCCTCCCATCTCTGTCCTGTTCAGTTCTGCCTGCAGCAGTCTATGACTTCTCTAGCCCAGGATGTCAAACTCTTGCACATTCCTCCTTTAAACCAGTTCTAAAGGTTTTTGAGCCACAGGATCAGGTTTCTCACAGCAACACCCCACTTTCCGAGTAACAAGTTTTATCTGTGAGTTTCTTTCATCACTGACCAAATGCCTGACAATGCTACTTAGAGAAGGATTTCTTTTGACTCATGGATTTCATGGCCAGGAAGACATGGTGACCAGGATTCTGTCATGCTGGTAAGAGCTCTGGCTGGTTTGCTGGATAGCTTTAGTGTCAACTTGACACACCTGGGTTGAGGGAGCCTCAATTGGGGAATTGCCTCTATTCGCCTGGCCTGTGGCCATGTCTGAGGGGCATCTTCTTGATGAGTGATGTGGGAGGGCCCAGCCCACTGTGAGTGGTGCCACCCCAGGGAAGGTGGGCCTTTGTGGCATAAGAAAACAGGCTGAGCAGGGGCCAAGGGAGCAAGCCAGTAAGCAGCGTTCCTCCGTGGCCTGTACTCCAGCTCTTGCTTCCAGGTTCCTGCCCTGAGTTCCTACTTTGGGCTCCCTGATGAACTACGACCTGGGAGATGTAAACTGAATAAACCCTTTCCTCCCCTAGTAGGTAGTGGTCAGAGTGTTTTGTCACAGCAATGAAGAAACAAACTAAGACAGCTGGTCACATTAATGCAGCATATGGGAGAGAGAGATTGGGGGTGGGGTGTGCAGAGATTAACTCAGATTCACATGTGAATGGGATGGGACTGGCTCAAATACAGATTACGTGTATCAGTGCTTACAATAATTGCTGAGTTTGTGTTATCAGATAATTCTAGGCCACTTAAACTTTTTTATAAAATTGCTTTTGTGTATATTAAGTATGCAATTTTATGTGTATATAGGTGCACCCATGTTGTGCAGTGTCCAGAGGTTTATAGATCATGGAGTTAAGGACAGTTGCTAGCTACCATATGAGTGCTAGGAATAACAGAACCTGGGTCCTTTGCAAGAGCAGCCAGTGCTCTTAACCATTGAGCCATCCCCTGCCCCTTAACAAACTCTTGTTTTTATGATTATCACTCAGAATAAGCCAGGATAAAATACTTAATTTCTTAATGTAAACTAAGAAACTAGTAAGAATGACTTAGATCTTGAGAAATATGAAATTAAAGTCGAAACCCGAACTCATTTTCATCAAATCTGGGAAAATCATTCAATCATTGTATGCTGCTGCTTTCTAACTTGGAACTTTTTCATTCTGTACCCAGTAATTGCTTGGTTATAGCTGATAGTCTAAAAGAAGATGACTTAAGTCAACATGGGACAACATTGATCCACCTCTAAGTGGACTTTGACATGAAATGAGAAGTTCATGTCTGTAATTCATATGTTTAGCCTACAAATAGATACTAGGATTTTGTCCCCCATTTTTAAAGTGTCCATTTTCAAATAGAGTGCCAGAAAGCAGTAGGCCTGGAAAGGATGTATACTTTTCTTAGAGGCCAATGAAATCTTCCTTGTATGTAGTGAATGCAGCTAGAAGAACTGCTGCTTCTTTCTAGAGAGTGTGTGTGTGTGTGTGTGTGTGTGTGTATAAATTTTTTTTTCTTTGGTCTTTTTGAGACAGGGTTTCCTTGTAGCCCCAGCTATGACACATTAGGAAAATGTTAGCATTAAGAGTCCAATTAGGAAAAGTAAGCATGGAGGCTTTTTAAATGGGTGGTGGTTTGTAAGTCATCATTTTGTTTTACATGAAAATTGATAAAGGCCCAAGGAGTTTCATGTTTTAATAGATTCCATTTTAGGGTTAAATATTGAGGAGTAAGTAATGATTAGGTAATATAGGTAATTGAGATATAAGAGAATCTGTTGTGATGGAAGTAGGAAACTGACAAAATTATTTGATCTGAGTTCTGTCCAGATCCTGAACTGTAGAGAAGAATTAACTCTTATTAGATACATGATCTCTAGTATTACTCTGTATTTCCCAGGGCTATAAAATTTGACTATTAGGAATCACTTGAGTACAAACTTTGGGAATATATGGAGAGACGGTTTGTAGATTGGAGTTGTAGCTAGAGAACTCAATATTATAAGTAAACATTTTGTTTGTTTGTTTTTTCTTTTGATTGCAGCACCTTCACAACTATTTCACAGTGACCCTTGGAATTCCTGTTTGGTGTTCTTACGTCTTTTTCGTCATTGCTACTTTGGTTTTTGGCCTGTTCATGGGTCTGGTAAGAGATAATGCCATCCTTTTTTTCTTGTTCTTAAAACAGGGAGTTTCATATAAAATTAAAAGGTGACCAAGAAAGAAAAGCCCATAAAATATTAATTTGTGTGTAATCTAAGCAGCTGAAGAGCATTAGCTTGTTTGATGCTGCTTTCAATGGTAAAGTATGATATAATGGGAAGAATTATTTCCCAGTCTTACCTCCTGAGCATTCTGAAGATGTGTGCTGCAGAGAATATAGACAGTGGTCAGAGAAGAAATAGAGGCCTTACTTGAATTGATAATCGTTTTCGAAGACAACTAATTCAGCTATAGTTCCACACATTGACCACTTAATTAGAACTTTGGTGATAAAGACAAAGTTATGAATCTACCGAAGGGATTACATGAAAGATTTTTTTCTTGTTTACATCCTCCAGCTTAATCTCTAACCTTGATCGACTCCTTATACATACACTCTGGCTTTCCTGAGGTAGATTTTGTTAGATAATATAGATAAAAGAACTTAGGTACTACTGTAGAAACAAATAAGTTTCAAGCAAATCACTGTGTATTCTTTGGGCATGAAAGATAGTATCCCATAGGATAATCCACGTGTTTTCTCTCCCAGTGAGACTTAAAATAATAATTACTTAACTTACAGAGGCTGTGATAAATGTTTGTCATACTTTACTCTTTGATGTAAATATCTTTTAATCTCTTTCTTAACTTACATGTGATCAATTTAATTGCATGTTCAACTCTGAATAGGATGGGTAGGTTTTTTGTTTGTTTGCTTGGTGTTTTTTGAGACAGGGTCTTCCTGTAGTCCCATCTGACTTGGAGTTCACTATGTAGACCAGGCTGGCCTCAGTCTCACAGAGAACCATCTGCCTCTGCCTCCCCAGTGCTGGGATTAAAAGGTATGAACCACCACGGCCAGCAAGTTAGGAAGTTTTTAAAAATTTTTATTTGGTTACTAATTACATGGTTCCTAAACACTATGGTAGAAATAATTGATGATTATGAAAAAATATATAAAAGAATAAAATTATGTAAGACTATTAACATTTTAAATGAAATTTAGCACCCTAGCAAGGTCTTTAATAAAAAAAAAAGATGAATTGGCAAGCAGTTTACTTCATAATATGTCAAAATTTGGTCTAAGACAGTAAGTTGAAAGAGCTAGAAAAAAGGCTTGATTTTTATTTTGTCATGACTATTTTATTACCATAGCCTGTCTAAACTTTAGAAGTGAGGATGGAGCATGGCTCCTTATATAAATTATTAATTTGGTCTCAGTTTTGTCCTGTTTTTTTTTTTATTAATTTTATTGCTTATTGTCATGGCCCCATTGTCCTGGATTAATGGAATATTACTTTGGACAGAAATTGAGAATTGAGTATAATTTTCTTCTCCCTTTTGCTTAGTAATGGATTTTTTTTTAACTTTTAAAAAAACTTTATTGAGATTTTCAGACATGCATATAAGGTTTTTTTATTTTAATTTTATGTGTATGCGTGTATTGCCTGCATGTAGGTAAGTGCACCTGTGTCGTGCAATGCCTGCGGAGGACAGAGAGGCTGTTGGCTCCCCTAGAACTGAAGTTATGGACAGTTGTTAGCTACCATGTGGGTGCTGGGATTCAAACCTGGGTCTTAATGCAAGAACAACCAGTGTTCTTAACTTCTGAGCCATCTCTCCAGCCCACATATAAGGTGTTTTGATCAAATCCATGCCCATTCCCTCCCCTCCAACACCTCCCATATCTCCCTATCAGTTTTTTCTGACAACTTCATGTTCTTCTTTCTCTTTCTTCCTTCCTTCCTTCCTTCCTTCCTTCCTTCCTTCCTTCCTTCCTTCCTTCCTTCCTTTCTTTCTTTTCCTTCCTTCCTCCCTCCCTCCCTCCCTCCTCTCTCTCTCTCTCTCTCTCTCTCTCTCTCTCTCTCTCTCTCTCTCTTTCAATGGGGCTTTTTGCTACTCTAACATTCCACCTTCTGAAGAGGAAACCCTAAACTCTTTTAGGGATTAGATAAAGGCTCCCAAATTCTTTTGACATTTTTTGGCCTTTGGAACATAGTGTGTTGCTAAGAGTCCTAAAGACATTTTGACTTTTAGCCAGGAGACTAGCTACTTTTCTTTGGGGTATTTTGTTAGCCTAACTACCTAGCCAATTCCTCCCTCCTATTCTTATCACACCATCGTTTGAAGAGGTTACCCAGTTTGCGGATAGGGAATCAGGACGCAGACCACTTTGGCTTCTTCCATGCTGAACACAGACACAGAGTGAGGTAATTGGGGTACCCCTTCAGTGAGTCTATCTAAAAGACTCCCAAATTGCATAACTCTTACCTGTAGGGAGAAAAGAAAGTCCTTGACTGGTGAATAGGAGATGTGAAGGAGAAGTAAAGGCAAGAGTAATTAGCATTACATGTTCTAGGCAGGGAACCAGAAAAAAGTCAGAACAGGGCAAATTTCAAATGTCCATATGAGAGGCCGTTGGAATTTCTTGACAAGGGCTTCCAAAAGCATCCCTCTGTTGGGTTCTTCCTCATTTTTCTTTTCTCTGCCAAGGCTGGACTCAAGAGTAATGGACTCAGAATTTGCTTTCAGGCACTTTGATAGCTGTTGGAGTGGCTAGAATCAATGCCAGTTCCCTTTCAATGGCTTCTAGATAGGGGCAGAAAGTAAATTTAGCCATCATTTTAGAACAATAGCGGGTTGTCTTCCTTAGCTACAGGTGGGCACTACAGTATTGGAGACCAAGATTTGAAGTCTTACGTCTGAGCAGCACTTTCTGCTTAGAAACAAAGTCATCAATGAGAAATAATTGTCTAAATAACATTTTATGTGGACTTAAGCCTAATGTCTGAAAAGTGTAATTCCTTGAACTCTTTGGTTATACTTCATTTTTGGGTGTTTAAGACCATAGAGTTGACCCAATCAATTTATATTTATACTTAAGGTTGTTTAAGAATCTGTTCCTCAGGGGTCACATGGGCTTGGGAGGAGCCCCTGGCACTTTCTTTTACTTACCAGTTCCACCTATGTGATAAGTCGAAGGTCCTACCCCACCATGTATGGCTTCCCTTGGAAGCATGAATGAGATGTTTTCTCTGAATTGACCCTCCCCTTTTAGACTGGACACTGGTTCAAGTCCATCTGTTGGGATCTCCATGGCCTTCCTGAATAAGAGGACAGGTAACTCACCACAGTTACAGGACATTTTGAGAGATGCTCCACAGTCCCCTGGAACTTAATTGACCTTGGAGGGCAAGGAGCAAAAACTGTCCTTTAAGTCCCTATGACCAGATTAGTATAGGCCTCAAAGTATGGCTGTTAACCATTCAATAAGGTTAGTTCTTCAAGTCTGGTACTTTTAATTATGTGCTATGTAAATAAAACTTGAGCAAAAACCAAACATTCTCAGATTAACCTTGATTAGACATATATTTTGTCCCTTAAACTAGTTGACTAAACTGTGATCTTAGCAATTTTAAGCTTATGTGTATATTATTTTTGTGTCATCCCTTATATATCATAACAAACCTATAGTACAGACCTTCCTCTCTTGCTTAGACTTTCTCATTTTTTTCTAATTTGGAAAATATCTCCATTCCCATATCCTTTAACATCTTTTACATTCTCATTTTCTTTTTTTTAAGTAATTATGAGACATAATAACATTAACAAATAAATTTTCCATCTGTTATGAGACTTCTTTTCTTGGGCATACTAAGCAATGCTTACCCCTTTTAAGGTTCTAGTGTCAGATCAATGTTTGATTAAAGTTTTCCTCAGAACCAATGAGTTTATGGAGCTTACTTACAGAGATGACTGAGGGGTTGCTGAGGTGTATGAGTGACCCGAGGCTATGCACACTGGAAAGCCTTTACCCAGCATGGATCAAGCCTTCTCTTCCTACTCTTCACCAGATTACATACTTTAGTCCTCCCCAAATAGTACAGGTGGAATGAACCTATAGAAAAAGCAGTGAAAATCTTTGTAGCTTGAAGAGTTTTAGAATTTTATCTTTGAGGTTGACTGAGTCTAAGAACTATGTGTGCATGATGTTTATTTGTCACCTAGATTGAAATAATAATTCAAAAGGGTTATTAGAGGTTTAGCCTGAAGATAGAAGAGAGTTCATTTCAGACTATTCAAGTGACTGAGATAGACTATTATTCCATTATATAAATTAGAAAGATAGCTTTAATGAACTAACCTATTAATATTATTTCCTTTTCTCTAATTTTAAAGTATATTGAATTTTCCTTCAATAATCTTTCTTTTGTACTTTTTTAAACTTGATTTTTTATACAGTTTGGAATGGTTACATTCTTATCTCATTTTAAATCATCTATTCCAGAATAGTATTTTTGTTAACTTCTAGTATTATAGAGAAAGTGTTTCAGAGTTGTCTTGACATCTTAGCTGCATAAAGACTGATAATTTGTATAGCATATTAGGATAAACGCAAGATACTGCTGTGCAGAGCTGCTCCATGTTTTGTCCTGACTCTAAGGAATTATATATCCATTAGGAAGCTGGGATCTAAAGAGACTTTAGGTAGTCTCTCCCCTTGAGTCAAAATTAAATAAGCAGTTCAGATAGAATAAATCTGAGATGAAACTGCTAAGGCATAGGATTTCCAAAGTAGAAGAGGAAAAATTGGCTTAGTACTCAAAGGAAAGAGCCTTTGAGATGCTCCTTTCATCTTCCTTAGGGAACCTGTACCTACAAAGGCTTTGTGACTCATTGCGTTTCTGATTCATAGCATCATATTAAAGGTGAGATCTTTCGAAGTGGGATTTAGCACTTGTGACACATTTACCATTTCTCAGGCTTAAAGCCTAGCACAGGCTTGCAGTCATGTGAACCTTGGTCCTGCTGACCTTTCTTCCCTTCTGTGAATCTTAATGAGTTTAACTTACCTTGAAGACAAAATTGTAGGATATTTTCCATAGGAAACTTTCTTAATGAATTCATTGTATCACATAAGCGTGGCTATTATGTTTGCTCCCCCCCCCCCAAATTTTGAAACATAAGAAGCTAAAACAAATCTGTTAGTTTGATTTTTGTTTTCTTGGTTGAAATATTTTATGTTATTTTTTACAAATAAGGTGCTCAATTTGATGATCAATTATATATTTTTGAGTTTTTGAAAAGGCTTTTTGGTGGCATGTCAGGTTACTCTGACTTCTGCTGTCACTGTCTACTCAGAAGGAGCCATGGACAGAAAAAATAAAAGGCTAGGGTTGCTCCTGCTTCTGTTACCTGGTCTCTGTTTCTGTTGTTATATATAGGCACTGTCCAAACTTGTATGCTAAGTAAGTTATTTTTCTAGATGTGGCCATGGCATTCCACAGAGGAAGGTCTTCAGTGTTAGAGGTACAGATGCCATGGTCTGCAAAAAATGCATCAGTCTTTCTCACTTAGGTGCATGGCTATATGAATCTTGATCTGACAGAATCTAGTGATAAAGGCCAAGGGACTTTGTTCCTGATTTCTGAGAAGACACATGGAATTGTCTACCATTAGAAATAAACAGACCTTGATGATGGGCTAGCACTAGCATGAGAAAGCAGTTAAGTGATCTGTCCAAGGCTACACAGCCAATACCAAAAAAGGCAGAACTGGGTTTAAAGTCTACTTGGCTGTGGTACCTAGCCAGCCTTCCAGAGTGCCCAAGTCTATCATAGGTGTGACTTACTCCCTCTGGATTTTGTTGGAAATGCTTCTTAGAAACACTGAAATGCCAAATTTTCCCTATCTGGAGGAATTAAAGAATAAAATCACAAAAGACATTATGTCTTGTAGATAGTTAGAAAACCCATGGCAGTCACATTTAAAATGTAGTTTATAACCTCAGGCATTCCAGATGGAAGTGTTTTCCTCAAATCAGTTAAATAACTTAAGGCTTATTATTCCCACTGATTTTTCTGCCTCCCATTATCTCCTCTTGTGGATGTTGTAGCCTGGCATTTGGGGCCCTCATAGATAATGTGAACCTTTGTTTACCCCTCTTGGAGAGGATTAGAAGAGCCAGACAAGTCACATTCCTTATATTCTCCTAACTGTCCAAGATGCTAGGTCCTCTTCAAATGGGAAGTTGGAATCCTTCACTGGGTGCAATCTGTTTTTTCTCGTGTATCTTGAACCTAATGGACTAAATGTTGTACAAAGAATGTTCGCATAGTAATAATCTTGAATACAAAGTAGGGCACTCATGGTTATAGAATTGAATCAAAGAGACAGTTACTTTAATAATTAAACTTTTGGAACACTTGTAAATCTATTATAACACATTTTTGAAATCTGGCGACTCATTCAAGAGAAGACCTACTCCAAATATTAACTAGGAAAGAGGAAATGTGCAAGGCAAGTATAGTGTCCCATACCTCTGATACCAATACCTGCAGTCCAGGAGGCTGAGATGGGAGGTTGGAGGATGGCAAATTTCAAGGCTAGCCTGGCAGAACCCTTGCAGTGCCCTGGGTTCAGACTCCCAACACCACAAAAAGGAAGGGAGAGAGTGAGAGGAAGGGACAGATAGAGAGAGGGCAGAAGGAAGGAATGGGAGGGGGGAGGGGAGAGGAGGAGAGGAGAGGGGAGCGGAGGGGAAGCCTTCCACATGGGCAGCTTCTTCCATTGTTATATCTCTCTGTTCTGTATGATGCTACAGGTTAGGGAAATACTGCAGTTGGAGAGTCTTCAGTTTATTGTGGTTCCAGCTAACACTTCCCTTTTGGATTAAGGCCAGCAGTTTCATCAGCATGGCCCACAATGGTCCCTGGGTATGGAATGTGAACAGAGCTAATCCTTCTCTTAAAGAGCTTGTCGTTTATCAATGAAAAAGATATGTTTAATATAGTAGAAAGTCTCTTATATTTCAGTCAAATCCAGACATCTCTGGTTAAAGTAGGATTTCGTTCACAGCATTGAGGAACAGCTTGTCTGTGTGAACATTTCTTAGAGTAAAAGAATTCTATACTTGGAAGATGTATCTTTTTTGGAGACTTCAGCCAGCTGCTGAGTGTCTTATCTGAGGACATCTGGTCAATAGAAATAAATCTGATATTGAGGCTCTTCGTCAATGTGTCTTCTCTGCTCACTGTGAGATCTCTTTATTCCCTCCAGGTCTTGGTAGTAATATCAGAATGTTTCTATGTTCCACTTCCACGGACTTCATCTGAACGTTGTAGTAAGTATAAGCTCCCATGGTGGAGTATTTTTTATAAATTTTGATGTTCCGAGGTGTGGCATTTTTAGGCTCTTGCAGATACTGGGTTTCCCCCTTCATTTGCTGGGCAAGCAAACACCACCAAATTACTTAAAAATATATTCTCCGTAGAGATTTGAATAAAATTTTATTTTCCTCTTTTGAAAATTAGAAAATAGTTCACATCAGAGACTGCAATTTTCCCTTGAGTTTATAACCCTCACTCATCAGTAAACAGCTTTTATTCTTTTGAATTGGAATGAGGAGGAGCTAGAGGATCTAAACATTAACTGCATCTCTACCTCCGTGTGTCACTATCTCAGATCATTTTAAGCAGTTTCCCAAAAGTTTTTCATCTCTTTACACTACTTCTAGGCCTAACTGGCCCTATATTTCATGGCCTTTATTCCTAGTTTTGAATTTTGTTAGATAATGAAATTTTGGGGACTTGAGGCTTCATTGATAGCAGGTAGTATAGGTGATCCTTAGTGCTGTGGAATGGGAGAGAAACTCAGAATAAAATACCTTAGGGATTTTCTGGCCCAACAATGTTAGGTTTGGGGGTTATTCAGTGACTGTCAACACTCCCAGTTCATATTGCAGCAGTGTAACAGTGTGTAACAGGAAGCTCTTTTTTCCCTGTCTTTGGCCCCAAGCTTGTCTGAACCAGTTGCTATGACCAGTTGCTAAGTCGCTGAGACTTCTACACAGTATGAAATAAAGAGCATGAAGGAAGCTTTGCACATCATTCCTACATGCTCTAGAAGGGGCTAGGGTATACGCAGAAAATCCAGCACTTCCAGGTACAGAAGGCTCCCTGTTTGTTCATGTCATAGCTGAACAGTGAGTTGAGTACTGAATTGTCATTAATAATTGAGAAATTTGTTTCCTCTCTTGTCTCCATAGAGCAGGATCAGAGGTCAGAGGAGGCTCAAGGGGCTAGACCGTTGCAGGATGCAGAAGAGGAAAAGGATGATTCAAATGAAGATGAAAACAAGGATAGCCTTGTAGATGATGAAGAAGAGAAAGAGGACCTTGGAGATGAGGATGAAGCAGATGAAGAGGAGGAAGAAGACAACCTGGCAGGCAGCATGGATGAGGAGAGGAGTGACACCAATGACCAAGGACCCCTGCAGGAGGGGGGTGTGTCCCAGGAGGAACTGGAATCTGATGAAACTGGAGATGTCCCTGAGCAGCCCCATTCAGTTGACCCACAGGAGTTGGTAGAAGACTCCTTGAGGCAGCGTAAGAGTCAGCATGCCAGTAAGGGACCTTAGGTTTCATGTTATCTTTTCCAAGATTACAGGCCAGAAAAATGAGTTAGCTTCACTCTGGTCTGAAGTTTTTTCCTGTGGTCCACAGTTTAAGCCAAATCCTTAATTTTTCCTGAATGAGCAATGCTCTCTCCTAAAAGATGATCTCTGGTCCTGTGGTCAAATGGTAAAAAGCCTTTGTATTTGTATCCTAAGGAGAGCCAGGCACAAGACTGGATTTGTGTGGGGACTTGGATGGAGAACAGATTCATGTACTGGGGGCCAGAGAGTCCATCAGAGGACTCCCCTCCAGTATTATTAGCACCTTTAGAAATGAGGCTACAGGCCTCATAAGATGACGACAGAGCTCCTGTTACACCTAGTACAGAGTCTTGTTTCCCGTGTTTCAAACATTTATTTTTGTCATGTAAGAAACATTGGGTACCATAGCTCACAAACACTTTCCTGAGCTGCTAATTGTGGGGACCTTGGGTAGAGATTTAACTTTAGAAAGGAATTTGGAAGTTACTTGAGCTCTCTTGGGCTCTGTTATATTTTATTTGTTACCTTAAATTTCTAGAATTGCTCCTCTGTGGGCCTACAGATTCCCTGCCCGACTATACTGTAGTGAGAGGAGCAGACACCTGTGGAGTCCGCATCTCTCTCCTTATTCTGACTTGGGGCTTTAGGTAACAGTAACCACAGCCAGTGAAGCTAAAACTGCCACATATCTCAAGGAAATGTTGATGTCTTTGGAGATTCAAAAGGGAGTATTTTATAGATCAGATAAACAAAACAACTTCTGTTGGCCAACCTGTGGTACTTTTTTTATTTTCACTTGTTTGAAATGTTCCTTTAGTAGTGTTTTCTTACTCAAATTCCAACGTGCTCTAAGTCTTACATTACAAGGTGTTTCTGTGAAGTGGACTTCAAGGCTGTGTTGTTTAGTTTTCATCTCAAGACGTTCTCTGCGTCCCAAACCACTTTAATAATAATTCAAAAACCGTTTCTGCTTTTCAGCGCCGTGCTTTTGGTGAAAGAAATTAATGAAAGTCAATATCGGGAAGTGAAAGGTTTGATTTTGTTTCCATCTCCCTTCATCTTCTGGAGAATTGTGTTTTTGTAAATCTCACTCCTCAATCTACTGTCAGTACCAAGGGAGCCCAGTCTCTTTAAAAAACCCATCCATCTCTTCTTTTACCTGATTTATGTCTTAGAATAAATTCATAAAATTAGATTCCAGGCATATAAAAGATGCCTAAAGTCAATCTAAACCCCTTGGGTTGAGGCAGAATAATGAGAACAGGTTTATGAAATTGTAAAACTTTCTGTCATTTTTGAAAAGGGATCTATAGTACATTTCTCTCTGGCTGTTTAGATAACCCTTTTCCTGCATTAGCTGCCAACATGGGGCTCACTGGTTGGGGGAAATCAGAACCTCTCTGGCCTGTGTTGTATGATGCTGCTGCAAGCCTTGCACAAAGAAGGTTTGTATTCTGAGTATCCATTCCTTAAAAATGTATGGTTTTGATTTTTTTTTTCCAACTCTCCAACTTAGTTATCTAGGAGCCTCAATTTGTTAGGAGTTGCTAGTAACTGTTCTCAAGCCTGAGGCCATCAAGGAGTTGAGGTATGGGAAGCCCATCCTGCATCTCCCATGTTCCATCCCCTTTTGACATATCCTTACTCAAAGCTCAAAGCACCATGGTTCTAAGTGTGGCTGTTGATCTTCCGGATAGAGCTAAGCTGCACCCACCTTCATGCCACTGGATTTCTTTCCCTTGTAATCAGCTGAACAAAGTCTTCAAATCATAGTAAATTCAAGTTTAGAGTTGTAGAAGGGAAAGGCTTCATGTTAGTTTGTTCTGTGTTGTAGTCTGCCTCCAAATTGAAATATTCAGTTTCTAGTGGAATGTTTGACTAAAGTGGAAAGCAAGAAGACTTACAATCTTGTTGACTTTTAGAAATGTAAAACAGATTTGTAGTGGACCCCAAACAGTACCTAATTAAACATTAAGAAAAAATGTTTTCTCTCTTAGAAACAAAAGGAATTGGAGGGTGAGGAGAAAATATCATGGATTCAGTATTATCTGAACCAGTTTTCCTAATTTTTCCCTTTTTAGTACTCTGGTAAAAGTTGGTTTCTAGTAAATAGCCCAATAAGTGTACATCCAGTTTAATATTTTTCCATTTGAAGCCTTTATGTGTATTCTCAATAATTCAAACTAAAGAAAAAAAACTTAAAAATTTGATCATTTAATATAACTTTTTTTGTAGATAATAAATTGAATCCATAAGAAGTGCACAGAAGCATGATTTTAAAAAAATAAATCATGCTTCCCTCCATTGCCATATAAGCTACTTAATTACAGAATGGTATTTTATATAAGTTAAAATTAGGTGACTGAAAGAGTGATTATAGGATGAGGGTTCCCAGTGCAAGGTGCCTTGTTATTAATTGGAATATCTGAAAATTCTAGTTTCCTTTTTACTTCTTTTACTGTTCATCTGTTCTAGATCTGTTAAGCCAAATCAGCTTGCTTAGGCTCTCACACAGAAGCCATGCACAGGCCCTTCTACTTCTTTCTTTTGGAGTATCATCACTGAATGGTTAAGAGATGGCTCATTCACTTTGCAGGCCTTTGCATTGCATGGCAATTACTACAGCCTTATCTTGTATATAGGATTTATATCTGTTAGCTACAACTAAGTAGTGTAATAGAAAAACAAACAAGCTTGGGACAGATTGAACTGACAGTTGAGAAAAACCATATTTTGACATTTTAGGGTCCAAACCACTTGCTGGTAATTATGATACTGCTCTGTGGTTTGCGTGTACATAAATTTGTATGACTGCATTTGTCACACCTTTGAAATTGGATGATTGAAACCTATTTAAGGGAATATTTACCATATAGCTTTTTATTAGCAAGTTAGGGTCTGTGCTTATATGTTGTAGGAGGGAAGTAACAAAAGAGCCCAAGGGAAAATACAAAAACAAATTACTGAAAACAAGGGCAAACTTGATATTTCTGCATAAAATCTTCAGCGTGAAGTGAGAGAACGAAAGGAAGCCTGGTGCTTTTGCTGGTATGTATCGGTAGTCTTTCCGTGTCCTCAGTGTTCTGCTGTTTGCTTCTGCCAGTATTGTACATGTGTAGTCAGCCAGCCTGTCAAATCTCTCAACTGTTTTGAAAGTGTTCATGTAAATCTTGTGCCAACAGGAATGTTCCTTCTCACGTAGGGTCTCTTTACCTCGTTTTTCCATTTCGAACTTCTCGTGAAGATTATAGCTTGTCTTGCAGAAACCAAGTGTGGAATCTTATGAAACCTGATGGGGCAGTTCTGTGAGCAGCTTCCCAAGCAGGAGGGTCAGTTGAGAAGTCTGTGAAAGCTTCAGCCCAGGATGTGGCTTTCAGATGGCATATTCTTTAAAGTTTTGTGTAGACTGTGACGCTGTGTATGTGATCCATGACTTGACATGTTTCCAATGTAGTTTAATCATTTATTTTTAGACAGATTTGTAGAAATGGGATTTTTATGCTAAAGACAATGTTCATTTGTAATGAAATCCATTATAAAAAGGTTGTTTATATTCTTTATAATAGTTTAGATTATTTACGCAGTATATTTATTTTTTCTTTACTCATGTATTTGCTTTCTCAAATAGATGTGTAGCGACTGAAATGAGAAATCAGTATATTGTTTCAAGCAGTACATTGCTTGAGTTACAAATTATCTGATCACAGAATTGTATATAACCCTGAGACTATATATTGCCATTTTATTGTAAATTCCATTTGCATCAAAACCTAACGATAGTGATGACCAAGTGAAAACAGAGTGATGTATTGTTTCTTCACATGTATTTTCACAAACATTTGCCTAGTCAGTTAAAAATGCTTTGTTTGAAATCTAATTTTGCTCTGTGTTTATTCTCTCTTCTTTTCCTGCCTCTTCTACCCTCAACTTGGTGAAACCCATGCCATGTGCCTTTTAGCTGCTCAAGCTTAACTCCAAAAATCCAAGGACTTCTCATCATAGCCCATTTACTACCAGCAGAAACTCACTGCGCTTACCTCATGGGTCTCACTCAGCCCTGATTTGAGAGTGGCCAGAATTGGTATATTCTATAAATGATTCTGCCGTTCCTCCAAGATGCCGGGCTTCCATGGTGTTCTAGGACTTTCAGAAGACCCCATTACTGTTCCCACCACTATATCAGGAAAGCACAAAGGACATGAGGTCCCCCCTTTCAACTCCCTCACTCACCTGGTATAATGGAGATTTGACCCCCCCCCCTTTTTTGAAGATGTTAGATACCAGCAGTCCCTTCACCAAAATGAAGTTGAGAATTCTTGCCCATATAGAGAAATATGTCTCAGTCAAGATGAACTTTGCTATCTACCTTGGTGAAGATTCTTTGCTAAACCATCAGAGATTTGGGCCCTCATTCTCTTTCTTATGATGGAATGATAGATACAATTTCTTACTAATCTTTCCATGAGTACTTTTTTTCCATTTCAATGTATTTTATACTCAGTAATTTATAGGCTCCATAAGTGTTCCTAAATGGGATTCTGGATAATTGTGTGAAAAAACCTTTAGAAAGTGTTATGCCAGCCAGATGTAGTGGTGCATGCCTTTAGTCTCAGTACTAGTGGATCTGTGAGCTTGAGGCCGGCCTACTCTACATGGTGACTAGACCAGCTGGGGCTAGAGGGAGCCCCTGTCTCAGAAATCAAAACAAAAAAGACTTACACATCAGAATTCATTGTGTTTGTAGTCATTTGTGGAATTCTTTCCAAGAATTACTATAGCTACTTGGGTGGAAGCCACTGGATAGACTCAGAGAATGTCTATTGCCCCAAAAGCACAAACTGCCTGCCAGGTTCACAAAATTACCAACCTGTTATACTTTGGGATTGCTCTTCAAACTCTTGTTCTCTCTGTAATAAATCTGAAACATAAGTCTCCATGACATAATATAGATTGTAGATTGACCATTAATATATTGTATTATAGCACTTTTCATATCTTTAGCTTTCCCATAGAATATGATACCAGGTCAGCTTACCCTCCTTCAGGGACTTTGTTCTACTAACTGGAAAATTAAGAACTGTCTTTTAGCAGCATCAGTTGTCTACATTTTTTTTTTTTTTTTTTCGGAGCTGAGGACTGAACCCAGGGCCTTGCACTTGCTAGGCAAGCATGCACTCTGCCACTGAGCTAAATCCCCAACCCCTGTCTACATTTCTTAATGTGTTACTTTGGGGGTTTTGTTCTGTGAGGCAGGTTCATGCTGTGTATCACTGGAACTTGATGTATCCCAGATTCGCCTCAGATTCACAATCTCTGGACTTGACAGTCGTCCTGCCTCACCTGAGCACTCTTGAAAAACTGGTGATATTAAAGGCATGCACCTCTATGGCAAGCAGTTGTCCCTTTAAATATCATTAAGTAGTTATGGTAGTTAAGCAGCATAAGGTTTTAAAATGTCTATTAACATCTACTTTAAAATCTACATGTCTGTGCTTCATGATAGCAGAAAGACAAGCCCTTGTCCTATGATTCAAATAGTTCTAGTAGTAGATTCAAGTAATCACCCCCATGAAACCAACCACAACTCCTGGTGCTGGGAGCATGGTCTCATTTCTAATACAGATAAAATGATGATTTTAGGGCCCAGCACTAGTCAAGATTGGTCTATGTACATATCAAAAAGGGTTTTTGATGAGAGTGACTTTTAGATGTGAAATCTAAGGAGTTTAGCCATTAGCACTACAGAAACTTACTTGGTTAACAGTACGATAAAACAAAAGTAGAAACCCACCACAAGAACTACAACTGCTGGCTACAGTGGAATTTTTAAGGGCAGAGTTGAACTGAAAAGATAGTATGAACAATTTACATGAGACAAGTAAGTGTGAACTTGTACTAGGCCTGCCTGGGGGTGGGGCGGCGTGGGGCCCCCTGGGAAGCACAAGACTGCATGCTTTATTAGCTCTACAGATACAGAATGTAGGGCCGTGGCTGTCAGAGTTGGGAAATAAACTGCAATGACACAAAATCCAGTCTCCATCCTTGGCAAAACAAAATACATGAAGACTAGAAGAAAGATTTCTCTGTCTTGACCTGCTCTACGTGTGGACAGGACTTCCCTCCGGAATCATAATCATGAGTCTGACCTTATACAACTTGGTGTTTGAATTCAAAGTAGCTTTCTACATTCAAAACCAAAAAGTTAAATCCCAAATTTCTTATGATTTGTTTTTATGTGTATGAGTGTTCACCCTTCATGTGTATAAGTGCACTATATGCATGCAGTGCCCACAGAGGCCAGCAGAGCATATTGGATCCCCTGGAACCGAAGTTAAGGATGGTCGTTAGCTGTCATGTAGGTGCTGGGAACTGAACCTGGATCCTCTGCAAGAGGAGCCAGATGAGCCATCTCTCGAGCACCTCCGCCCCCAATTTCTCATGTAAAGGTTAATGGGCGTGAAAGGCTAGGGTGTATTGGCAGAAGCAATTACAAAATTGCTCTTGAAAGCATCATCAGAATAGTTTTTAAATTCCTATTGATAAAGCCCCACATAAAATGAACTCACAAGGAAATTACAACCCACAAAAGAAAATACTCATCAGACAAGTATGAAGTCCAAGTTCTGAAGCCCAGAAAGATGGAGGGTCACAGGAGGCTTAAGACTGAAAGTAAAGGAACTGTAGGCAAATGAGACACTTTATTCACCCAAACACAGTGTGATAGGTAGGCAGATGCCAGCAGGGGTGGTGGTACACGTGCTGTACGCAGGCAGGCACAGGCACACACAGACTGCCATACAGACAGCAGGTAGGCTCAAACAGGCCTTCGCAGGCTGGCTGACAAAGGCAAAATGCAAAGGTGCCTTTGATTTTAAGGGGCAATTCACACAAAAGTGGCTTTCTGCCATGAATACTTACATAACAGATTACATCACTGCTTACTCTGGTTTCCCTGAACGTTTGATGTCAGCCATCATTAACTGACTCAGCCCTCTAGATGTTCAGTGTCAGCCATATTTTAACTGACTCATACCAGGTATCTAAATCAGCTCCATGTCTAGCCCTTAACTGGTCCTTACAGCCTTCTGTTCCCTATAGCAGCGTTTGTGACTTGCCTTCATCTTGGAGATAATAAAGTTGAAAAACACAGGAGTGGGTATAAAGCAACAAAATAAGACACTTTTCCTCAAAGTAACGTATTTAAGGTTCATCCTGAATAAAGAGGTTGAAGTTCAGCCTTTACCTACCTGTGGTATTTCATACAGTTGCAGCCCACGCTATCCATTCTATCATGGGACAGACTTTCTATTCAGATTGTCCTTCGAACATTTTGATTATAAGATTCTTGGAACCATTTTACATTAATCTTTGAACTAAATACCAGGATGTTAGAAATATGTCCTTTGGGACTTCCCAAGAGTTGGTTTTAAAACATCAGAAAGCAGCATGTATTACACTATCAGGGAGCGGGTGCTTGACAACAGTCACTGAACAGGCCTTCCTTATGTCAAATCCCAGTCCTGTAGCCACTTGTAAGAGTTGTGAACTTCAGAAGGTGACCTAAATTCATCCTGCCTCATCATTACTATGAGGATAATATGTGACTTCCACTTCCATTAACAGAGATCTAGCGAGTTTTAATCAACCCTTCCAATGAGTAGAATGTTTTAAAATATAACATGCATGTGATATTGTATGGCATCAGAATTTATCAGGTTTGGCACCAAAATGTAGGAGTGATCCTGGAGACTGTGACTGGTTTTCTCCTAAAGAGGAATGGAGACTCGCTAAGAGACTGAGGACTGCTTTCAAGAGCCTGTCTTTCTCTAGAACAGGTTGGCTAAGGGTGGAAGGGCTTTATGAAGCCTCCATGTGTCTCTGAAAACACCTCACTTTTGGGCTGAGGCTGAACCACAATAAAGCTGAACCACACAGAGATCGGAACTCAACCTCTGTTCATCTGAAGACTGAAATGATTCTGGACAAGTACAGATGCTGAAGGAAATTGTCCATGTTTGTGTCCTAGGGTGAATGGTAGTTATTTTTTTAAATTCTGCCATGTGGTAGATTGCCATGGTCTAATTACATCTGGAAAGCTCCTAGATCCCTGTCTTTGTGAACAGTTGTGGTCAAAGGACTGTCATGTATGTAGCAAGCATTCATTTCTATATATTCCTCTCAGTTCCCAAGGCTATCGCCTCTCTGAGCCATCGAGTCCCTTTATTTCATTTTTTACTCTGCCTGAAAATTCTCTTTGGTTGCTCCCAAAGTGTTAGCTCTAACTCTTCTCTTTCCCCAACCTCTTTTACCTCTTCATCTTTTCCTTTAAAAAGACATTCTTCCTATTTATAAGGTTGTCACTATACAGCTAACCCACAGAGCTCTAGGAAAGTGGAAGATGCCAACCAGTATGTCCAGAATTCCTGATTGAGAGAGAAGATGAATGGGAAGCCATGAGTACCCATGTCTGCAGGAATTGTGCCTGTGTGCCAACTGCATTTTCCACCTGCTGCTGCCAGCTTCTCCAGTTCATGCACAATAGAATCCTTGTCTAGCACCTGTCATAGAAGGAATTGTTGGACTCAACTGCCTCCACCCAAATTTATCATCGTTCTCTCCACGACCAGTGGAGGAAGAGAATGGGGAAACTCCCAGAAGGCCAGCACTCCCCTATCCCTCTCTGCATCCCCTAAATCTGCATTCCTCCCCCAGTCCCCATTCTTCATGTGAGCTGTTAAAAACTCACAGCGGAGGCTCCTTCTAAATGCTCCTCCCCAACAGAAGCACAGCACTTACTGGCTACTTGCATCCCTCCAAGTCTGGGTAGGCAGATGCATGATCCTCATGGAGACTCACCCAAGCTGGGTTCTTCCAAGCCTCTCATCATAGGAAACCTGTTTCTACTAGGACCTGGTGCCCATTGCCTAAGGCCACTGAGGCAGAATCTTTGTGGCGCTCGGACTCTTCATGCTTACCTGAGACTTTAACAAGATGGAATATCCTTGCCTTCACTGACAGTCCCTAAGTGTGCTCAGGGCCTACTGACAGTATCCCATTACAGTGTCCTCAAGGCCATTACAATTTGGCCTTTTTCCTCAGAGATGTTCAGCTTCAGGACAGAAAGTTCGTGTGGTTCATTCTGAGATTGAAATGCAGCAAATTGTGGTCTGCTCACCTATGTGCTCCATCAAGGAGATTTGCCAAGCTTTATTCTATCACCCCTGGAAGACATTCCACCTTAGGAATACTTCCAGCCACATATGGGCACATCTCCAAACTATCCATTCTACTAATGGCAGCCTATCTAGCTTGAACGTCCTGAGTCACCCTCAGGTAGGATGGCAAGTGTTGGACTTACTTATATTTATGCCTGTGCATCTTTGTATCACATTTAGTAGAATGCTCAAGTTATAAGAATAGTTCTTTTCTTAATTTCTTTGTGTGTGCCTATTTGTGTCTGGGTGTACGTGCATGTGTGTGCACATGCATATGAAGTCCAGATGTCAATGTCCAGTACCTTCCTCAATCATTCTTCACTTTATTTTTTGAGACAGAATCTCACTGAGATTGAACACAGGAGTTGGCTAGACTTGAATGGGTGTTGTGCCGTGGGGACCCTCCAGTGTCCATTTCCCTAGCAGTAGGGTTACAGACGCTTGCCACCATGCCTGGCACTTTTATCTGGGTGCTAGGAATCTGAAATCAGATCTTCATGCTTCTGTGACAGGCACCGTACCACTGAGCTGTCTCCCTAGCCTCATAATTCAATGCTTTTGAGTCAACCTTTTGTTAGTGTGATAGTTCCCATAAATATTTCAAGTTTATGGGAGCTACTAGCCTGCTGTGGCTGTTTCTGTCTCCTTGAAGTTGAATTCCACATCTCAGCCAGTTCCTGAATCTGCTCACTGGTAGACAAGGTAGCAGCTTTTGACAGCTCCAGGAAGTGCTGAAGTAGCTGATCCTTTTCTTTTAGGGGCTGGGAAGATGGCTTAGTTGGTAAAGTGCTTTTACTGAAAGCGGGAGGACCTGACTTTGTTCCCAGAGTCTGTGTACAAAGAAAGTCAGGTTTGATGATGCAGCCCAGTGCTGAGGAGGCAGAGACCAAAGAATCTCTGGAGCTCCCTGGCCTGCCAAAGTAGCCTACGTGATGAGTTTCCCGCCAGAGAGAGACCCTGTCTCAAAACAAAACAAATGCCTAAGAAATGATACCCGAGGTCTCTGGTCTCCACATCACATGCAAGAGTGCGCACACACGCGCACACACACGCACGCACACAAGAAAGCAGATGACGATAGAAGCTGTCTCAAGATAATATTCAACGTGCAGTTTCACAGGAAGTTTTTCTCTTAAAGGGGGTATCAATTTATTATATTTGTTTTATCAGTCTGGTTTTCTTTCTTCTTTTTTTCTTTTTCTTTCCACTGTGTGACCCACTTCAGTGCCAGCAGCCTACAGACAGAGGCCAGGCAATGCTTCGGAGGCACAGTTGGCTCTAGCATGGGACATATGAGAGGCCCAGGGTGACAAGCCTGCCATAAATCCAAACCCATGCTTAAGTCTGGTTTTCTAATTGGAAGTCCCACCAGTTGTCACATCACGTTTTCATTGTTACACAGGTGTGATTCTCACACCAAATAAAAACTACTGACTCCCGATAAAAATTTAATCCGAGACAATTGGTCTTTATTTTTAGACCAGCTTAAATCTAAAGACAAATTTATTGCCAAAATATAACCACCTGAATTTAGTGACTCTGTGGTCTTTCTAGCTAGCAAGCCTCAGAAATACAATTAACCTTATCTTTGTAAAGAATCGTTAGCAGGGTCTAATCTGGATTAACATTTCTTTTTTATTTCTTTTTATTTAATAACCACATGATTAGAAGAAGCATTTCATTACAGCTTTAACATGTTCAGTAACAATTTCCAGAGCAAGGATACATCTCTTTCAAAAGTGGCTGTAAATTTTTAAGTTCACAGTAAAATGAATACAGTTATACAATATTGAACTCAGTATCAACCCTGTAAGATATAAAATTGAATGTGTTTTTACCCTGTATGGCTGTAAATTTTTAAGTTCACGGTTGAATTAATACAGTTATACAGTATTGAACTCAGTATAAACCCTGTAAGACATAAAATTGAGTTTTTAACCATTAAAGAAGACCTCCATTTCATTTTAAAATATACCGTTTCCTGCATTTTAATGCTACTAAATGCTTAGATGTTTGCACATGTGCCTTTAATCTCTACGTATTTGATTATTACTAGTCACAGTCAGTTACACTCAGATCCTTGGCACTTGAGTGTGGCTATAGTAGATTTCAATGGTAATGTTTATCACCTCTACTAATTAACATGAAGTAAATTTTTATGCTTCAAATACATCTTTTTAATTTGATTTTGTGTGTGTCTATTTCATACAGAACATTCCACACAATCTTATTAATCCATATACCCACTTCCCACATGGCACCCTCCCATAGCCCCCACACACACACTGGAGCCCATATACTCTGTCATCCCTGTTACTGTTCACTGTGTTGTCAGCACCTCCAGCCATTCTCCAGTGCTTGTCCATCTGCTGAATCTAGTCAGCCTATCTAGAGATCATTATTTTAGGAAGATCAGCTGTTCCTCATCTAGCAGCAATCAGTTGTCAATATTCCTTCAAATAAGATTGGGGTCTGCTGTTCATTTTCCTAGTTTTATACTGGGTTACTGTCTGGGAGTCTTTGGGCCACCCTGGCCAATAACTCAAAGGAAGGTATCTTCTGTCTGGCATTGTTTCTTGTTATGTAGCCTTTAGATATACACATGGACTCTTAAAAATTATATTGACCTCATTGATCTTTGGTTATACTTTCCTTTGGGGTATTTAAGACCTTACAATTGGCCCAGATAAACCAATTTATTTTTACTCTTAAGGTCATTTGAGGATCCGTTTCTCAGGGGTCCCATGGGCTTGGGAGGAGCCCCTGGCCTATGTGAAGATAAGTCAAAGGTCCTACTTGACAATGGCAGGCTTCATTTGGAAGCATGGAGGAAATGATTCCTCTGTGTTGACCCTCCTCTTTGTAGACTGGACACTGGTTCAGGTCCATCTGGTGGGGTCTCCATGGCCTCCTTGATCAAGAGGACAGGTGACACACCACAGTTACAGGATGTTTTGAGAGATGCTCATAGTCCTCCAGAACTTAGTCGACCTAGGAGGGCAAGGAGCAAAAACTGTCCTTTATGTCCCTCTGACCAAGTTAGTATAGGCCTCAAAGTATGGATTCACATTTCTTAAAACCCCACCCATCATCTTCCTCTCCTACGTAGGCATAAGAGTTCAAATTCTGCCTCATTCCTCATTCCTCTAATTTTTCCTTAAGTCCTACTCAGTTTTCTGTCTTGTGTCAGGTTCTCTCTCTTTCCACATGTCTCAATCTTTTCTGCTAGGTGTCTTTTCATCTTTCACTTTCCTTTGTTCTGTTCTCCCCAGCTGACCGCTTTGAATTTAAATAACAAGGTCTGAAGGAAAGAGGAAGAAGGGAAGCAATGACTAGATGGGGAGGAGAGTCGTCAGATTCTCACTGATAGGCTTTCCTCCCTCTTTTTGCTTACACTCTCCCCATGGTTTTTCTTTCTTTGATTTGGATGTTTAGGTCTTCAGCCTAGAACTAGAAATAAAACAATTGCTCTTCCTTCTTTCCCTAATATAGTTTTTTTTCTTGTGTGTGGTGTGCATTCATGTGCATATGTGTTTATATGGCATACGTGTATATACATGATTACAGATCCATGTGCACATCTGGGTGCAGGGATATGGAGGCCAGAGGTTAATGCTAAGTGTCTTCCTCAGTTGCTCCCCAGTTTATTTACTCAAGCAGGGTCTCTCTAGGATCCCCTGCCTCAGCTTCCTAAGATCTGAGGTTATAGGTGGGCCCCCACACCTGCCCAGCATTTCTGTGGGTGCTGGGGATTGCTTTATCCATGGAGCTGTCTCCTTAGCTGTCTCCTGAAATGTGAACATTTGAGTGAAAGGTCCAGGGAGTTCCCATGTGGAATTACTCTACCAGGCTCTTCCTGTCTACTTAAGAGTGAGCTCCCTGGAATGTTCTGGCAAGGCAGGTTTCTCTTGTACTCCTTCAGCTCCGTAAAGAACTCTCATCCTGCCTTCTTCCTCCAGTGTCACCATCACAAGTTCTCAAAAACAGTGTGCAGTGGTGAGTGCGGTTAATTTCTCTACCATTTAGTATGGAAAAGTCTCCAGGGGACTGCTTGCTTCTCCATTCAGCCAGTCTACCGAAGGAGGCAGTCTCTCCATCGAAGAAAGAATTAATAGTGTTCCTAGAGAAGAATGGGGAAAGCCACCAGGATATTGGGGATATTTTCACCTCTTTTCAGAAGTTTGAGAAAATATGGGCTTTGTTTTCAACTATGGCTTTTCTGATTTAGCTAAAACCCAACGAAGACGTCTGTGCTTGGAATAGCTCAGTGAGGACAGCAAGGCCTCTTTTTATCTTTGAAGTCTAAAGCATACCCGGGGGCATCATTTGACAGAAGGACAACAGACCAACAGTCTGGGAAATATTTCAATTTACAGTGACCACCATGGAATGATACTAGAAGCCTTCTCAATCCTGATTCGTGTGTGTGTGTGTGTGTGTGTGTGTGTGTGTGCTGTGTGTGTCTCTTTGTGCTGATGTACATGCATGTGTAGTATGTCTCCCTCTACTGCTTTCCACATTATTTTTTGAGACAGAGTCTCTCACTGAACTTGAAACTCTCCAATTTTGATAGACTAGCTGGCCACCGAGCCTCAGGCACCCTCCTGCCCACCCCCTCTCAGTGCTAGAATTATAGGTACTCTGTGCAGTCCTCAAAATTTTTATGTGCGTGCTGGGATTCCAACTCAGATCCTCCTGCTTCTGTTGCAAGTACTTTACTGACTGAGCCCTTAATCCTGATTATTTTTTAAAATTTTATTTATTTTATTTAATGTGTTAGTATTTTGCCTGCATGTATGTAAGTGTACCATGTGTATGCAAAGTCCTAGGAGGCCAGAAAAGGGCGCAGATGCCTAGAACTAGAGTTATGGATGGTTGTTCGCTACCATGTGGGTGCTCAGGACTGAACCTGGGTCCTGTGCATGTGGGTGCTCAGGACTGAACCTGGGTCCTGTGCATGTGGGTGCTCGGGACTGAACCTGGGTCCTGTGCATGTGGGTGCTCAGGACTGAACCTGGGTCCTGTGCATGTGGGTGCTCGGGACTGAACCTGGGTCCTCTGCAAGAGTAGTCAGTGCTCTTAACCACTGAGCCATTGCTTCAGCTCCCTGATTATTTAAAATTATTATTTATTTGGTTGTGTGTGTCCAGAGATCTAATCCAGTTTAGCAGGACTGAACCTGGGTCCTGTGCATGTGGGTGCTCGGGACTGAACCTGGGTCCTGTGCATGTGGGTGCTCGGGACTGAACCTGGGTGCTCTGCAAGAGTAGTCAGTGCTCTTAACCACTGAGCCATTGCTTCAGCTCCCTGATTATTTAAAATTATTATTTATTTGGTTGTGTGTGTCCAGAGATCTAATCCAGTTTAGCAAGCTTGACAGCAAACGCCTTGACCTGTTCTGTGAAGGGATATTTATTAGGAACCCATGCAACCCAGTGTGAAAGTTCTTCAGAGGTGGCTGCCTTGCTCTGAGAGTGTCCACGAAGGACAGTGGGAAAGGGCAGCACAGATTATGTGTGTCACTCACTAATTGAACTTGGATTCCATATGCTGTCCCATTTATGTGCATCCAAACATTTTGAGGAATTAGATATCCTCCATGGACAGGAATTAACTATAATTATTTGTTTTGTTTTAGTTTTTTGTTTTTTGTTTTTCACTAGTAGTGCTGAGTCCCAACTGGTAGAGTCCTAAAAACAAAATTTCTCTGCTTAGAAATACTGGTTAAAAAATACTGGTTAAAATACTGGTTAAAATAAAGACCCTGCCCACAGGACCATGGCTTTTAAGTTCATCATTTTACGTTTCCCGTGCTCTTGAACCTGACAATCCATTGAGAAATTGCTTCCTGAACATTGAAAGTGATGCCATCTTTCTGGAAAACGTTGATAGCTATCAATTCGGAAATTGCATTAACGGATGCTTTCCCGTTGCTGAGAGCCAAGAGAGCAGGCTAATTTGTATGATCCTTATCTGCATGACTTCTGGAAAACCCTATTAAGATAAAAGTGCTGAGAGTCGTGAGCTGGCCCATTTCCCGGTGTTGTCTGCTGCTCGCTGAGCAGATGAATGTGGCGACTAGGATGGGAGTGAAGGTGGATGTGTGTGTGCTGAGGACTTGGAGCCAGAGCACATGGATCGCTGTTGTTTTCAGAAGTGGCATAAGAGCTCACAGGGACGATCGCCTTGGATAATAATTCGAAAATCTTTTGGTGTTGAGGATGTTAATAGAGACGTTTTTCCCAGCCGTCCTTCAGTAACAATTTCACCATGTTATTCTCAACACTGACCTTTTTGTGTGTGATCTTCCTTTTCCTACACAAAGACTGTATGAAAAG